GGTCAGAAAAGTGGTTCCCGAGAAGACACCTCCCTCCCTGCTGTGTTAGGTTTGCTAACACTATCTAAAACACATCTAAGTCAAGACCAATACAACAGAAGGAACCATGGAAACAGGAGGAAGAACTTTCTAGACAGAGAACGCTGCTTGTACAAAGGTCCGGGGGTCAGGAAGCGCAGTGGGTGGAGATCGGCTCACCAGAGATGCTGCAGTGAGGAGAGATCTCTTCCTCAGGAGCTTCAGAGGGTGTGTGAGCAGGAGAAGAACATGGCCTAATTTATTATCTTTTTCTGGTCTTGAACCATGGCCATCTTCCTGTGTTTTTTCCCCCATGTGCTGGGGTTACAGTGGTTAGGAGATGCACTGTCTTCCAGCTGGGATCAGGGTGGGGCTGCGGGGAGAACAAGGAGGAAGGTGTCAACTGAGGGTGTCGGGGTTCTTGATTGAAAAAGGGCAGCTTGAGGGAGGGAAAGCTGAGGGGCCAAAAATGCAGCTCCTCCACCCCAACCCTGGCCACACTCCTGTCTGAGTCAGAACAGGAGTCTAGGTTGAGCTTGTGATGGGGATTGGATGGTGTCCATTGTGGCAAGGAGGCAGAGGCTTGCCAAGCTGACCTCTGACCTTAGTACCAGAGGGAAGAGGCCTGTGCCTTCCTCATCCTGGATTTGTGTGCTGTGACTGAACCCCAGGACCATGTAGTAAGGTGGGCCAGCCAGGAAGGTCAGGCCTCTGTGTGGCGCTGGCAGCAGCCCCATGAGCATAAGGGACCGGATGGTCAGAAGCATACGCTGTAGCCCACTGAGGTACCAACCCCAGCACCCAACCGAGAAAAACAGCCCCCCCCCTGCAGTGGAGACTAACCACAGGAGACATTCCGAGACTGTGGGGCGGGCAGTGAGGAGGGCCAGCGGCTTAGAGTTAAGCTCTAGGCACAACAACTTGGGGCTCTGCAGAGGCAGCTGCATGCTTACCCAGGGTCTCACCATGCAGTTTGGCCTGGCCCCAGCACAACCCAGTGAAGTTTGAAGGTGAATGGTTTTACCATCATGCACTATAGTTTTTTAGATAATAATGGATACATATATACACACACACACATATATATATACACACACACGTAAATATCCACACACATACATACATATATACACATGCTCATATACATACACATGTATACATGCATACATAATGCACATACACACACATACACACACACACACACACTCACACGATAGTGGAACTCACAGTCATAATCACCTGACTGCCCAGCCCTAGACCAATGTCCTCTCTTGGAGTCTGTTGCTCGCTGCCACCCTGGGCCCTGAGACATTGTGACTGGCACAATCTTGGTGATCCTTACGATCTGATGTGCTCTTTGGGAGCCGAGGGTGAGGGAGATGAGCATCCCTTGAACACTGCTGAAGCTGTGATGGTGTGAGGAGGACACAGACACCAGTCCCTGACCTCTGCTGACCTCCAGATGATTGGAAAGAACAGGGCTGAGTGGTTGTCCAAGCAGGATGTTCCCCGACACCCATGGTTGCCTGGAATTCCGTGGAGGCCAAGAAGGGAGCGAGAAAAACCAGACCTGGAGCCATGCCCGGTGGCAGCCTTCCTGTGGCTGGGATGCTCACCTTTTCACAGGGCCAGTGTAGACAGAAGGTCCAGTCACAGGTGAAGGCAACCCGTCCAGTTTGGTATCTGCCAGGACCACTAGCTAAAATGACTGAGTTCCCAAAGACCACATCACAGGGAACCACTGGAGCTGACGCATGGGAGGGTGACGGTGTGTGCCTAGCCCTCCCCTGCTCTCTGCACCCCGCACTGCTCCCACCCATCCAGCTATCGACCCACCACCCATGTGCTCATCCACAGATATGAACCTCCCACCCACACACATCGTAATGTCATCCAGGTGACGTGTGGAGTTGTGCTGGGCTGTGCTCAGGGTACGGTGAAAGCCACCAGATGACAGCAACAGGGAGAACAAGTCATTTGGAGGTGAGCATGCCCCATAGTCACAGCCAGATGATGCCAGATGCAGGCTGGGAAGACCTGTGCAGCCCGGGCCTGGCTCCCATGACCACCCATACCCCCCCTGCCCCATATACCATCCTTCATCTGCCTTGGATGCCTGGACCAGGCCTGTCACAGGATACCTGCTCACCTGGGGTGGTCTGGACTTTATCATCCCTGCACAGTGTCCTCGGGCCACAACCCTTATGTCCACAGCCTCACATTCAGGCCCTGGGCCCTCCAAGCAGTGGCCTCTGCCAGCTGACATTTATTTGGCACCTTGCTGCCCAACCCCATGGCAGCTTCTCTTCCCCAGGCCTGGGCAAGTGCCAGGCGTAAACACAGCGGTCTCTGCTCCATTCATCAGCCAGAGAACAAGGGCCGCACTGTGCAGGCACTGAGGCTGCTGCTGCGTGCAGCAGAGGATGAGGCCGGGGCTCCCCTCTGCTGTCCCCAGCCTACTGCAAAAACCTGGGGTAGACTTTCTTCTGTGGTCTGTGTCTTCAGCATGGTAGAGTAGCTTCCCTCTCTGAGCATCCGGTGACCACAAGAGGAGACAAGGAGGACACCGACTTTGAGACAGGTCTCCTGGAGATGGCCAGCTGGTCTCAAACTCATAATCCTCCCTTTCTTCCCTGCCACAGGCGGAGGTGAGAAGTGTGTATTGTGCCTGGCTGCTGTTCTTAAACCAAGTTTCCCTATGTAGCCTGGGTCACCTGGAAGATGCCATCCTCCTGCCTCCAGTGTCGGGAGAGTAGGCATGCTCCACCAGGCCTGGCTTATGTGGTGCTGGGGATGGAGCTGAGGTACAGTCCCAGCCATTAGAATTGTATTTAATGGTTATTTTAGTTTTTCACTCCTATCCCGCCCCCCAGACAGGGTTTCTCTCTGTAGCCCAGGCTGTTCTGGATTCACTCCATAGCCAGGGCTGGTTTCTTTAGCTGAGGATGGCCTTAACTCCTTATCTGCCTTCCTGTGCCCCCTGAGCACTGGAGTGGCCTTGAGTCAGGAAGTTTCTCAGCTTGGTTTTCTGAGGCAGAGACTCCCTGTGTAGGTCGGTTGGCCTGGAGCTGCATCTTTGTGCCTCAGCCTCCCTGGCATGGGGATCACACTCCAGCACCACCATTCTGGACCATACAGTTTCTTTTCTTTTTTTTAAAAAAATATTTATTTATTATGTATACAATATTCTGTCTGTGTGTCTGCCTGCAGGCCAGAAGAGGGCATCAGATCTCATTTCAGATGGTTGTGAGCCACCATGTGGTTGCTGGGAATTGAACTAAGGACCTCTGGAAGAGCAGGCAGTGCTCTTAACCGCTGAGCCATCTCTCCAGCCCCTACAGTTTATTTTCTAACGTTTTCTCTGTGAAGTTTGTGTGCTTGCGCAATCCAGAGAACTACAAATGTGTGCTTGATTCTGGCGTTGATCCTAAAAAGTGGGGGTCTTTCTTGAACTCATTTATATGTGTGTGAGCGTGCATACATGTCTGTATATATATGAGTCTGTGTGCGTGCATGCGCATGCATCTGTGTATGTGCGTATGGGTGTGTGAGTGTGTGTATACATGCGTGTGTAGCACTGCAGATGAAACCTGAGGATACTGAGGTTGCAGTCATGAGTGAAAGCCCCACAGGCCCCTGGCTTCCTGGTTGTGTTTGGTGGTTCTTCTTCATTAGCAAGAGGCAGAGCCTCAAGACCACCCAAAGGCTCCTTCACAGTGGGAGGTAGGGACCTAGGACTAGGTGGAGGCTTCAGTCACCCCCACCTCTCCCCCAGGAGGCACAAAGAGGCTGTAACACCTGCATCTCAGATCTGAGTTCTGACCAGATGTCTCTGGTCCATTCCAGTCAGTTACTAGTGAAGTTCAGGTCTCTTGAATCAATTTTTTAAGACGTAGAAATGTATACCAAAATTTGAAATATGTGAAGAAAGAGAAAGAGTCAGGCGGTGGTGGCTAGAGAGAAATCCTGTCTCAAAAAACTAAAAAAAAAGAAAGAAAGAAAGAAAGAAAGCAAGCAAGCCTGGCGGTAGTGGTGCACACCTATAATTCGTCCCCACCCCCGGGAGGAAGAGGCTGGCGGATCTCTCGGTTCCAGAACAGCCATGGCTACACAGAGAAACCCTGTTCTAAAAAAAAAAAAAATCAAAATTCAGATGAGGGCAGACAAGATGTCTCAGAAGATAAAGGCGCCTGGAGAGGCCTGAGGACCCAAGTTCTGCCCCTGCAGGCTTTTCTCTGACCTCTACATGCACAGTATGGTGCACAGAATAGCGTAATGTATGTGTGTGTGTGTGGGGGGAAGAGATCAGTATTGATGGTGCCTGAGCCTTGAATGATGTTTGCCATCATTCAGTAAAACTGTAATGTTGTCTTTAATCTGAGGCAAATCTGGGGCAAGATGGGTGGGAAAGAAGGCAGAGCCTGCTGAAGGCCTAGGCAGACACAGGCCTCAGACACTGGCTCCTGGACCCCTTATTATGGAGTATAGATCTGGCTGGGCTGTGGAAATGGCCAAGTGAACCTCCCCCTTGTTGCCTTGATGGATTCCCCAGACCCAGCCTGTGGCTGGGCAGCCGACAAACTTTCCCCCTGGGCGGTGGCCTGCAGTCGGCGGCGCCACAGTCTCCTGGCCCAGCAGGCGTCAGTCAAAAAGGGCCCCTGGGACTCTAACAGCAGGCCCCACCTGGCCCTGATCCTGGAACCACTCAGCCTGGGTGTCGGGAAGGGCAACTGGCCTGGGTTCATGAGTTCCAGAATATCACAGCTATTGCCTGGCTGGGGCCAGAACTGAGCCTGGATTCATGAGGGAAGGGCTGTATGTGTGCATGTGTGTGCATGTGTGGGTCTGGGGTTGTGCGTGTGTGTGTATGGGGTTGTGCTTATATATGGTGGTGTTGTGTGTGTATATATGCACTTTTTTTTTTCGAGGCAGGGTTTCTCTGTAGCTTTGGAGCCTGTCCTGGAACTAGCTCTCGTAGACCAGGCTGGCCTCGAACTCACAGAGATCCGCTTGCCTCTGCCTCTGGGATTAAAGGCTTGTGCCACCACTGCCTGGCTTGTGTGCATTCGAAACATTCTCTGCATAGACTCAAGGTTGCAGAACCAGGCTGCTACCCAGAGCCAGCACACTGAGGATTCCCATAGGCTGTCTCTCATCCCAACAGTGTCTGCTGTGCTTGGAAGAGCGGAAGAGGGACACAGGCACGAGGTCCCAGGAATATAGCTGCCGAGTGAATCCAGGGTGGCTAGGGTTAGAAAAGCTGCCTGGGAGAGGGTCTCTGCCCGGTGGGTGGAACTCAGGCTGTCCTCTGAGCTCCCCCTCCCCATCAGTCCTGACTGTCTCCCACGTGGTCCAGCGCCCCAGCTCTGGGCTGCCCTGTGCTCCTGTGTCAAAGGCTCGAGCACTCAGGGCCACCGCCAGTGGTGGTTTCTGGAGAATTTCAGCGCTGGCCAGCAGAAGCAGCCCCAGGTGTGCTGGAAGCCAAAGAAAACAGGAGGTACCCCAGCCAGGCAGGGAGTGTGCCCGGGAACCTCCACCCTCCCTCGGCTGAGCTGTTCTCCCTTCTCCCACTCTGCGACAAGTTGGGCCTCAAGACGTTGGCACTGCCTTTGCTAGCCTCCCCCTGCTCCAGTTGGAGCCCCGACACCTCTGAGTGACAGTGTAGCCTAGGCTGCCTCTTGAAGGATGGGAGCTGTTGTCTTCCTGTGTCCCCACTAGCTACCTAGCAGGGAACTTGACTCAGGATGGGCAGATTTATGTAACACAGATCTAGACACACATCCTCCAACACCCCCTCACTGGAGCACCACTGATCTAAGGCCCTTTTTAGTCTTTGTCCCTAGGCCGCTTCCTCCAGGCAGCCCCCTATGACTTCCTATTGGAACAACAACTCTTTCTGGGACTCTGGCTTGGCTTATAGTGGCCCCAGATGGCTCAGTCCCTTCCCTGACTCCGGCTTCTATGTAACAGACTGAGTCGGGACTCCTGGCCCTGAGGTGACTGCCCAGGAAGGAGGATTTTTCAGTTCCCAGCCATTTTTATTTTTGTGATTGACTGTCTCCCCAGCGGCTGGGGAGCAAAGCTGGGTACAGAACCCCAGGGAAGCAGAGGTTCCCTTCCCTACTCCATTGTTTCCTCGACAGTGCAAAAGGGGAAACTGAGTCACAGACACCGTTTCCTGGTGATTCTGTTTCTTTGGAAGTACTGGGACTGGAGTCCAGGACGTTATACTCTCAAAGTTTCCTGCAGACGCCCGCTGAGCCACGCCCATGGGGCCTTTTGCAGGGTTCAGAAATGTGGACTGTAAGAACCTGAGTGTGTTGGTTCGAACTTTTCTATCACTTGTGACTCTGTTTCTCCAAATGTTATACCGTCTTACATACAGCCGGCACCCGATGGTGAACGGGAGTGCGAGTGGGGAGCCCCACTTGACTCCCTGAGGCTCATCCCTCTTTCTCCTCAGACTCCATCATGTCCTGACCAATCGTAGGTCATTCCGCGGGGCCGTGGGGCGCGGCCCTGAATGCAGAGTCTGGCCTGTTTACCTTGTGGCGGACTCTGGGCAGGACCGCGGGGGCTGTCCCGGCCGGGCGCGGGAATAAATAGGGCATCGGCTGAAGGGCGCCAACAGCAGCTGCAGCTCCGTCGTCATGGGCCCCACCGCCTGCGTTCTAGTGCTCGCCCTGGCTGCCATGCGTGCGACCGGACAGGGCCAGATCCCTCTGGGTAAAGCCGCTAAGTGGGAGGTGTGGGTGGACAGGGGGCCTCCAAGTTCGCGGTTCCCGCTTCTCGGAGCTTGGGGTCCGCTCTCCAGAGACTGGGCTAAGAAATCAGGCGGCGGGTGGAGCCGGAGCAGCGGGGTGGGCTTGGAGGGCCCCGGAGGTGGTGATGGATGATGACTGGCGAGGGATGATGGGGTGGCCCCTGCGGATGCAGGTGGAGACCTGGCCCCACAGATGCTGCGAGAACTTCAGGAGACCAACGCGGCGCTGCAGGATGTGAGGGAGCTGTTGAGACAGCAGGTAAGGGAGCAGTGTGGGGACAAAACAGGGATAGAGGACACAGCGCAGTGACGGAGCGGAGAACGGAGAGGGGACAGAAAAGGATAGACAGGGAGACAGTGGAGGGAAAGAGAAAGGGCGCGACAACAGAATAGGCAAGAGTGTAGGACAGAGTGGGGACTGGGCGCGGGACAAAGCGCGGGGACCAGATGCACGGGGTCAGAGCCAGGGAGGCGGGATCCAGAAGGGGCTTGTGCAAAAGGGAGTTGGAAGGAGGTGTGGGCACCAGGCTTCCCAGGGAGGTGATCGTGGGAGGAGGAGGACCGCGAAGGGGCGCACCGGGAAGCTTCCCGCTGACCTCCTTCATCCACAGGTCAAGGAGATCACGTTCCTGAAGAATACGGTGATGGAATGTGACGCGTGCGGTGAGCACTGCCGGGACCAGAGGACCGGAGGAGGGGTGGGGAAACAGGAGAAAAGAAGGAAAAGGGGTAGGGAAGGAGGGTTGCGGGAGCGGAAGAGAACCGCGGTGGAGCGGGCTGGACGCCGGAGAGAAGGCCCAGGAGGTGCGAGCAGACCCCGGACAGCGTGGAACCAAGTGGACCATGAAGTGGCAGCGCGCACGCGCAAGCATGGCCCGCCCCAGGGTGCTAAAATGAGCCCTCTCGAGGGGCGTGGTCATGAACGGCGCCACCCTGGGCGAAGCAAGCTAGTCTCCTTGTAGGCGCGCCCGAAAAGCTCCTCCCCTGGGTGTGGTTCGGAGAGGCTCCTCCCCCTGAGCGTGGCCTAATTACTCGGGTCTCCAAAGGGATGCAGTCCGCGCGCACTCCGGGCCTGAGCGTGCGGCCTGTATCGCTCTGCGCTCCGAGCTCCTGCTTCCCTGGCGTGGTCTGCACGGAGACGGCGAACGGCGCGCGCTGCGGCCCCTGCCCTCCCGGCTACACTGGCAACGGCTCTTACTGCACCGACGTTAATGAGGTGCGCGGGCTACCCACACCCCTGCCGTTCTGACGCTACCCGGGTCGACCCCACCGCAAACTCCTTCCATCCCGACGACCCCTTTATCTACCGAGGGTGTCCTCCCGCTCCTAACCCTGGGCGCAAATCCAGAAGACCTCACATCTACTCGGGGAGCTCCACCCAGGCTAACTCCATCACTGTCCCAGACGCATGCCCTGACCACGCCTTCTGCACCTACTAACGCCCACCCCGACGACCCCTTGGACGCTGTGGGTGGCTCTCCCCAACCATCCTCCTCACCACTGGGTCTCGCTCGCCCCGACCACTCGTCTACTTTAGAAAGTCGCCCTCCTCAAGCACCTGGCAATCGCCGCTGTGCCTGCACACCCCGTAGGCCACTTCCTCCCTCGGCTGGGGATGCTCGCCCTCTAAGTTCATTTCCTCACCCCTAAGGGGTCACAACCCCATGTCCATCAAGGCAAAGTCGTCTGCGACCCATGGGCTCTCCATCCCGTGTGACACCCTACTCCAAGAACCGGCTGATGGTCCTGGCTGGGAACCAATCAATTGGGTGGTGGTGGCGCACACCTTGAACCTCAGCTTTCTTTGAGTCTGAGGCCAGCCTGGTCTACATGGTGTGTTCCAGGGCAGCCAGGGCTATGCAGAAATGCTGTCTCCAATAAAACAGAACAAACAAACCCATGTCCAAATCCGGGAAGCCCCAAGGTGCGGCTGTCGAGGTTCAACTTGGGGCCTCTAATTTTGTGTGCTGCTTCCTCACAGTGCAACGCTCACCCCTGTTTCCCGCGCGTGCGGTGCGTCAATACCAGTCCTGGCTTTCACTGCGACGTCTGTCCGCATGGGTACAGCGGCCCCACCCACGAGGGCGTGGGGCTGGCCTTCGCCAAGACTAACAAACAGGTTATGAGAGCATAAACCCGACGTTTATGGCAGGAGGGAATGGAAGGCATTTTGTCCAGAAAACTCCGTCCACATCCTCATTCCAGCGAGGAAGTTCCTGAAGTCAGGGTGGACAGACACGTCCTGGGTGAAACGTGTGCCATCTGACCGTTGTCTCCGTCTCCCAGGTTTGCACGGATATTAACGAGTGTGAGACCGGGCAACACAATTGCGTCCCAAACTCCGTGTGTGTCAACACCCGGGTAAGGAAGGCAGGGATGGTGAGAATGACGCCAGTGAGGCGCGGGTGGGTGCCCCGTTGACTGATCGCGCCTGTGTACAGGGCTCCTTCCAGTGTGGCCCCTGCCAGCCCGGCTTCATGGGTGACCAGACGTCAGGCTGCCAGCGGCGTGGGCAGCGCTTCTGTCCGGATCGGTCACCCAGCCCGTGCCATGAGAAAGCGGACTGCGTCCTGGAGCGCGATGGTTCGAAGTCGTGCGTGGTGAGTGCGGGCGCACAGGTCGTGGAGGAGGGGTCCCCGGGCTCGGGCGTGCGTGTACATTAACATCGACTGCCCTGCGCAGTGTGCCATCGGCTGGGCGGGCAACGGGCTCCTCTGCGGCCGCGACACGGACCTGGATGGTTTCCCGGACGAGAAGCTGCGCTGCTCAGAGCGTCAGTGCCGCAAGGTGGGTGTGATCTGGAGGGCGTGGTGAGTCCAGATAGACACGTCCCCTTACTCCGTGTACCTGCTCTCCAGGATAACTGCATGACCGTGCCCAACTCGGGGCAGGAGGACGTGGACCGCGATGGCATCGGAGACGCTTGCGACCCGGACGCGGACGGGGATGGAATCCCCAACGAGCAGGTAAATGTGAGAGGGTCCGCTGGTTGTCCAGCTTTCGACGGAGGGGATGTGCAGGTCTGGGAAGTGGTTTTTGTTTCTTTTTCTTTTTAATTAATTAATTAATTAGCTCGTGTGTGTGTGTGTGTGTGTGTGTGTGTGTGTGTGTGTGCACGCGCGCGTACCTGCCCGCCAGTGTGACACTGTGTGTATGGATCAAACGGCTACTTGCAGGAAATGGTTCTCTCCTTACACTGAGTAAGCTCTGGGGAAATTGAACTAAAGCTATCAGCCTTTACTTTGAGCAGCGCCTATCCCTCTGCCAGCCGATTGGGAGGTGATCTGTATCCCTCTCCCCCCCTACACACACCTAACTTCACTTGCCCTGTCTTCTAGGACAACTGCCCGCTGGTTCGAAACCCAGACCAGCGCAACTCGGACAGCGATAAGTGGGGAGATGCTTGTGACAACTGCCGGTCACAGAAGAATGATGACCAGAAAGATACAGACCAGGATGGCCGGGGTGATGCCTGTGACGAGGACATTGATGGAGACCGTGAGCATGGCTGGGGAGTCGAGGGTGGGGCCCATCTCTCAGTGGAAGTGCTTGAATGCTTGGAAGATGGTGACCCACCCTGACGTGACTAAAGTCAAGCTGGGGGAAACATGAAACCAGGGCTGGGAGAGAAGACTGCTGGGATACAGCGATGGAAAGGTCTTCTCTCTTGTCTACATCCAGCGGGGAAGCCTTTGACTTCTCAGTACCCAGTTTAGTATCCTAGACTGACTTAAACCTGGCCTTGAGATAGAGTATCTCTGTGTACCCCTGGCTGTTCTAGAACTCACTATATAGACCTAGCTGGCCTTAACTCAGGGACCCACCCACCTCTGCCTCTAGAGTGCCAAGCAAACAGCATTTTTATTACATTTTAATTTATCATTTCTTTTTTTTAAAAAATATTTATTTGTTTATTATGTATACAACATTCCTTCCATGTATGCTTGCATGCCAGGAGAGGGCACCAGATCTCATTAGAGATGGCTGTGAGCCACCATGTGGTTGCTGGGAATTGAACTCAGAACCTCTGGAAGAACAGCCAGTGCTCTTAACCAGTGAGCCATCTCTCCAGCCCTTAATTTATCATTTCTGAGTACACACACCTGTGTGCATGCATGTATGTGCAGGAGGGCCATGGCACACATGTGGAGGTCAGAGGGTAACCTGCATTGCAGGAGTGGGTTCTCTCTCAGGTGCCAGGGGTCAAACTCAGGCCAGCCCCTTGGTCCACTCACCTCAGGCCTGACCCGCGCTGTTCTGACACTGTCCTAACCTGGCCTTTCTTGGGATCCAGCCTTATTTCAATTATTTGTGTCAGGAATAAAAAATGTAGCTGACAACTGTCCCAGGGTGCCCAACACTGACCAGAGTGACAGCGATGGTGATGGTGTTGGAGATGCCTGTGACAACTGTCCCCAGAGAGACAACCCGGATCAGGTATGCCGCTTCCTAGGGGAGCCTTCCTGCCAAGGGCAACCTAGGGTCGGGAGTTCTTGGAAGGGAGGACAGCTTCTGAGTCCTCAGCCCTGACTGTGACTCCTGGCCCCATTGTAGAGAGATGTGGATCACGACTTTGTGGGTGACGCCTGTGACAGTGACCAGGACCAGTATGTAGCCCTTGAGACGGTGGCGGCTGAGCGGTGCATGACGTCCCCTCCCAGAGTCCCAGGGTCCCAGTATCCCACTCCTTCACTCTAGGGATGGGGATGGACACCAGGATTCCTGGGACAACTGCCCCACAGTGCCCAACAGCGCCCAGCAGGACTCGGATCACGATGGCAAGGGCGATGCTTGTGATGATGATGACGACAATGATGGCGTCCCTGACAACCAGGACAACTGCCGCCTGGTGCCCAACTCGGGCCAGGAGGACAGTGACAGTAAGGGCAGAGAGGGTATAGTTACTAGCTGATGTGGGCCTGGTCTGTAGCGGGTGTGGGCGTGGCCAGCATCTCGTGTGTGGAGGGAGAGGTGTCTGGTGCTGGCCTCGGCCATGGCCATCCGGAGCGGCCTGAACTGAGCCCAGAGTGGCAGCTCGTGTCCCACCTCCTTTCAGGGGATGGCGTGGGTGACGCGTGTCAGGGCGACTTTGACGCTGACAAGGTCGTAGACAAGATCGACGTGTGCCCCGAGAATGCGGAGGTCACTCTCACCGACTTCAGGGCCTTCCAGACGGTCGTGCTGGATCCCGAGGGGGACGCGCAGATTGATCCTAACTGGGTGGTGCTCAATCAGGTGCGGCCAGGGGCCAGGGTGGCTGTTTAAGGAAGCCTAGGAGCCCCTCAGCGCCGGCCTGAGACTCTTTCTTGTTCCTCGGACCTCCCCAGGGAATGGAGATCGTGCAGACCATGAACAGCGACCCTGGCCTAGCTGTGGGTGAGGCGGGGCGGGGCGCGGCGGGATTATGGGGGCGTGGCCACAGAGCAGGACCTGTCAGCCTAGTCTTGGGAAGGGTAGAGAGAAGAGGGGAGACAGAGAGGTGAGGACAGATTGCTGGAGTGGCCATAGTGGGTTTCCATGGAGGGGCAGGGGTTGGTTGGTCTGGACCGGGGAAGGGTGGGGTTGCTGCTGTGTGAGGGAGTGGTGGTGGGAGGCCTGGCCCTTGAGCCGGGGTGGGGGGATTTGGAATGCTTTAGAACGTGACCAATGGTATGCTGGGGGTGGGGCCTTATCAGGGAACTAGGTTGGAAGTGAACCTAGTTCTCTGGAGGAACTGGGTGTCCAGGGCAAGCAAGTTTTGGGAGGCCCCATTTCTCTCCCCTTGTACAGGTTACACAGCCTTCAATGGCGTCGACTTCGAGGGCACATTCCACGTGAACACGGTCACTGATGACGACTATGCTGGCTTCATCTTCGGCTACCAAGATAGCTCGAGTTTTTACGTGGTCATGTGGAAACAGATGGAGCAGACATACTGGCAGGCCAATCCCTTCCGGGCAGTGGCCGAACCAGGGATCCAGCTCAAGGTGCCTGCTGCGCCTTGCCCTCCTGGTCCCTGCGCCCTACATACACTATCCTTTCCCAACTTCACCCAAACCCTCCACCCTTCCAGCATTGTCCCACAGCCCTCAAGGCTGTCACTACCCCTCATTGTCCCTCAACCATCGCCACAGGCTCAGATCTTCCCACAAGCCCACGAATCCTCTTCCAGGAGGGCTGGGGAAGAAGCCCCTTGAGTCCAAGCACAGGGACTGGAGTTTGGGTTCCCCAGAACTCACAGAAATACTGGGTCTGCATGGCGGCCCACCTGGAATTCCAACCTGAAAGGTAGAGACAGGGGCCCAGAGCAAGCTGGCTCGTGAGACAAATCAGACTGGGGAGCCCCAGGCTTCACTGACAGACCCTGCTTTATAGAGGTCTATCAAGGTGGCAAACTCTTGAGGATGGATATGACACTAACTCCTGTCTACACCTCCATGTGCATACACCACATACTGAAGATATAGCCTGCCTCAGAAAGAAAGGGAGGAAGAAAGAAAGAAAGCGAGAATGAGAGAGAGAAAGGGAGAGTACTTCCTTATGACCACCTCATATACCTTTCAGTCCCCAAACCTTTACAGAACCCGAAATTCCCCTGGCTGCTGCATATCCTCCTGCAGTCACCTGCAACAGGTTCTCTAGGTGCCAGCTTGCCCTTACAAGCCAACAAACCCAGAGGGTCCCCAGGGTGCCCTGTGCTTCCAGTCCAAAGACTGGAGACTCCCCTCTCTGCGATAGGCAGTCAAGTCCTCCACGGGGCCTGGGGAACAGCTCCGAAATGCACTGTGGCACACGGGGGACACAGCATCCCAGGTGCGGCTGTTGTGGAAGGACCCTCGTAATGTGGGCTGGAAGGATAAGACATCCTACCGCTGGTTCCTGCAGCACCGGCCTCAAGTTGGCTACATCAGGTGGGGACTGTCCTGCAGTTGGTGAGCTGCACTGGAGATGCCCCGCTTTACAGTGGTTTTAGAAGAAATGGGCTCCATTTGCAGCGTAGGCACCTTTGTACAGGGCACCTAACACATTCTTACAGAAGGAAACTGAGGCAGGCTCTCCTGCTTCTGTAGAGACACCAGCCCATATCTTTTAAGTGTGAGCCAGTGATGAGGGGGGGCGGGCATGGGAACCCCACCTCACTGGTTCCACTCACAGGGTGCGGTTCTATGAGGGTCCTGAGCTAGTGGCTGACAGCAACGTGGTGCTGGACACGGCCATGCGTGGTGGTCGCCTGGGCGTCTTCTGCTTCTCCCAAGAGAACATCATCTGGGCTAACCTGCGCTACCGCTGCAATGGTGAGCTAGGGGCCAGCAGGCAGGACCCGAAAGGCTCCAGGAGGCATTCTCACCTGCTGCCTTTCAATCTACAGATACACTCCCTGAGGACTACGAGAATCACCAGCTGCAGAGGGCCTAGGGAACTCAAGTAGGGCACTGCTGCCTGATGAACTGTGGTAGCCTGAGCTACAGGTGTCTGTGGGGCTGGCATCACTCTGGAGGGGTGCCTGGCCTGGGGAGGAAAGGCTAATAAAATATGAATGTGGGGGACTGGGGGCTCTGGTCTCTGCTTCATGGGGCTCTGTGAATGGCCTCCAGGGGGACCCAGATCTGTACTTGGTCATTCAGACAGTCACTACAGGTGCTGACACCCCTGGTATGATCAGGCGGGTATTCCAAGTTTGAAGAACCCCAAAGTCACTAAATGGCTCAGTAGGAGGTGTGCAAGGAGCTCAGACCTGTGTGGGGCTCAGACACAGAAGAACAAGGCGTCCAGGATGGAGGAGGAAGAGAATGAGAGGCCCAGACGAAAACATTGGGTTTTTATTACATTTCATTACAAAGGGCGCAAAAATACAAAGAAGCGTCTGCGCCAGAAGGTGGGGTGGGCAGCCGTGCGTGCCCTGAGCAACCTGACCCCCAACTGCTGTGTCCATGTGAATAGTTCACAGACATCCACAGCAGCAGAGTGCGCATGCTGGGGGCAGAGCCAGCGTGGGCACAGGGAGGGGGTGTGGGACCAGCCATTTGCATATATCAGAGGGACTGCCCAGCCCATGGCATTCTGTTTCCTACGAAGGGGTGAGATATAGCCTGAGAACCAAAGCTGGCCTCTGGATTTAAGGCCACAGCTCTGTCCTCATGTCCCCCATGTGATCAGTTGGGATGGATTAGGCTGGCCCTTGGTCACCCTGGGATTCTAGAGCCCCAAGAGATGGGGCATGCCTCTACTGCATGTGACGGATCTCCAGTCCCAGGGAAAGGCTGAGTTCAGAGGTGCTGCTCTCTCCACCCTGTCCAGAGAGTTGGGCCCCTGAGCCCAACGAGTTTGAAAAAGCAATGGAAGGGAAACTGAGGTTCAGGGAACCCCTTGCTGTTGGGAGTACCCCAGCACCCAGGTTGGAGAGGGCACACCTTCTGCCCCAATGAGGAGACGCAGCTATGACCAATGGGGTGGTGAGCATTTGTGCCACACTGAGGGCCATGCCTGAGACAGCAGTGATCAGGGGCTCCAAGTCATCCACCAGGAGATTCCTGAAGGAAGTAGGGACCCCAGGGGACAAGGAGAAAGGGTATAAAAAGGACTAGGTACCGCCACACTTGAGGCAGGCCTTGGGGTCTGGAAAAGGCCACACCTCCCTCTAGCAGTTCAGACCACACAGATTCTGCACCAGGTGCCCCCACCTAGACACCTATTGAGGGACAACAGGCAATAGACAATACCCACGCCTGCACCACAGTTCCACCAGGACCCTGATCCCACCAGCTCTCTCCACCTGTGGCTCTATTGGGCACAGAAATTTTCTTAGGAAAACCAGAAAACCCAGGATGCAGTGAACCAACTCCATGTCTACTGTGGTAAGAACAGTGGTCAGGATTAGCACATGTGGCTGCCTCCGTACCTTCTGCCTGTTCTTGTCCTGTACTAGGTCCACTGTGACAGCTGCCAGCCATCCTGGCGTGCTGGGGGTGGCGTGTGGGTCTCGCTAGGGCCCCTGTAAGAGTCTTTCAAAGAGCTGAAGGCCAGGCTAAGTATGCAATGAACTTGAGAGCCCTCCCTGGCACTGAATGGTGCCACAGAGAAGGGACATCGACGGGGCCTGTTGCTTGGAGGGGACACAGAAATGGTCTGGGTGCAGCTGCCTCCTCTGTCTGGAGGCCTGTGGGTGGATAACCACTGCCCCAGGGGCTGAAACGGCAAGGTAAATTGAGGCATCTGAGCATAGTGCTCCACTTTGTTCTGAAATGGGGAAATGGGTCAGACAGCCTCATGGCTGAGGCTCGGCTGAAGACGATGGCACGTGGGTGAGGTCTGCGGGCAAAGGCCAGGTGTCCAAACCTGTCCTGAGAAAGCATGGGTGTGGGCAGAGGTCTATGTACATGTTGCAGGGATTCCAGGATAGCTGCTCCCGACACAGTTCGATGGGTCAGTATGTCATGTCACCAGCTGGGGGTCCCCACAGCCCTGACTCGGGATGGCTTGGCAATACTACGCAAGATGACTGACATCTAGAAAACAAAGACTACCCCCAGAGGTTCCCCTGCCACCAAGTCTCTAGGCCCAGGGTGGGGGAGAGTGAGTCCATCCAGAACACACAAACACCTAACCCCTGGCTGGGGCCCCATCACCCCATCAAGGAACTTGGCAATGAACCGAATCACGCTAACGCAGCTACATGCACACTCCTGGCTGCGGGGTGTTGAAAACCAGGCCACAAGCATGGGGGAGTCACGGGGCCATGTCCCTCCTGCCCCAGCTCACTGAGAACCTGATAGACCAGTGACTGGTTCCTGGAAGCCAGGCCTTGCCTGACAACTGCCTCTGGCTCTCTGCCTTGCTAAGGCTGTTTGTTCAGGTTTCTACACCTGGAGATAACCAGACTCCAACAGGGTCTCACACAGCTCAGGCAGGCCTCCACTCTCCATGCATGCTTCCTAATGAGGATGATGGTGATGTCCCTACTATTACCTCCAAGCATGCACCATGGTGACAGAAAGGCCTGAGACCTGGACAAACCAATGTCCATGGGAACGGGGTGGGCACGGTGATGGAGGGGCAGCAGCTTTCTCATGCAGGCAGTCACAGAGGGGCTTAGGGAAAGACACACACAGTTCCCGTGCTCCCCAAGCCCCCAGCACGGGCAGTGAGCGAAATCACTGAGAAACTATCGAGCAAAAGGTGCGGCCCTGGTGGGAAAAGGTCTAAGACAGCCTTCAGCTGTAACTCAGAGTCGTGGGGATCAGAGCTTCCAGGCTAAAATGGCCCACAGAAGACAAGCCAGGTCCACAGCTCCAACACAGAGTCAGCATGGAGATGTGGCAACCAGCCAACTACTGAGGCCAGGCTGGCACCTTGGGGATGCTCAGAGGAAATGGGTTCTCCAGAGGTCCCCAGTGAAAGTCAAGACTTGTTCCTAGAAGTCTGTTCTGTGGTTCTTACAGTTTTGTCACCAGGACCTTACATCCAGTCCCCTCCTTGCCCATCCAGCTCTTTGAAGTTGAGACTGAGTGCAGGTGAGTGACGTGCAGGCAGCCCGGCTTGGGGAAAAAAAAAAGAAAAGAAAAAAGGTCAAGGTGGGACTGGGGTTAACACATGCTTCCAGGCCAGAGAGGCTGGAGGGTCAGCCACCAAACGTTAATACAAACTCAAGGAAAAGCAAAACCCACAGGGTTGCTGCCGCCTGAGCCCCAGATCCTAAGCAGCAGTAAGGACCAATCAGGACTGGGAAGTAAGGATGGAAGTGAGCAGCCAGCCTATGACCCTCCGTCTGCCCTGTATTGCAATGCTAGGCATTGTCTGGCAGTAGGCAAAGGGTGCTTGAAAGAGGATCAAGGAGAGGGACACTGGCTGCTTCAGCGGGCTCTGACCACACCACATTTGACCACAGGTCAATTGTCATGCTCTGAGAGCGCTCAGGAATATGAAAGGCAGCCATCCAATAGTGTTTATTCTGCTCCAGGTCTGTTCCTCTGCTCTGTTGTCTTCGCCCTGGGCATGGTGGGCATGCGTGACCTGACCAGGACTGGGGGTGATGGTAGAGGAGGGGCAGGGATGAAAAGAGGCAGTGACAGCTGAGAACAGTTGAATGGACGGTGCACCTCAGCCTCTTGGGGCACTCCCACGCTCAGGCCCCAGCCCGGCCTGTGCAGCACATTTGGGAGTGAGTGACACTTTGGGTATCTTGGAAGTGGACCACTGAGGAGGGCCCCATCATCCCCGACAAGGGGCCCGGGAGCGAGCGTGGGGAAAGTCCATGTGGGCCAGGCACTCACAGTCCCTGTGATCAGTTGGCTCCAACTGGATGGACAGATGGACAGATAGCTGGCCTGGTACACAGTGGCCTCACGCCAGGCATCAGGGAGGTGAACAACCAGGGTAGTGGCTGGCAGGGGGTGCTGGGCAGCATTGCAAGCTCAGAACCACAAGCTTGGCCGTTGGCAAAGGAGGACGGAACATTGCCATCCCCAGGTTTGGAGCGGCGCTGTCGGGGACTGACCAGCGGTGGGTGGCAAGCACGACCACTCACAGGCGGTCCATTCGGAAGGTGTCCTCGGTGGCCGGGTCGGCTAGGACCATGTCGGGGTCATTCAACATATGAAGTCCGTCCAGCGTCAGAGGGTCGATCTTCAGTTCATCCAGTGGGAACTGATGGTCCGAGTCAAAGCTAACATCACTGACCCCTGCCAATGTGCTGCTCAGGTCCTTAGAGAGGCTGGGGGGGGACTCTCCTGTCACTGTGGGATGGGGACAAATGATAAGGCTTAGCCTTGGCTCCAGGGAACCAGACACTTCCCACCAGTGTGGGTGGCAGCTCACCCCAGGGAAAGCTCTGCAGGGGGCATCAGAATATCTAAGATGTTCATGATGGGGTAGGCACTGGCACAGGTGCACACAGCCTCAGCTGGTCCAATCCTAAGTACAGGTTGAGACCAGACACCTACAAAACCACATGCTTGGTGGCAGATGGCAGTAGGACCTGAAGGATGCATCCTCCTCACTCAGGGTCTGAGGTGCATGGGCACTCCCTACGGAGGCTCAGCTCTTCTCACTGTCAGGGCTGTGCCTGGCCGGTTTCCAGGCCTGGAGACTCACTCACAGCCATCCTTTCTTGGCTGGTGGGTGGATCGATCAGACAGGTGGGATTCTAACCACAGAGCCCACTCTACAAGCCACAGGGGTCCTGAGGATAAAGCCTTGGGTGTGCTACAGAGCCCACAGGACGGGGCGACACTATCCCCCAACAGACCCAGATCATACAGAAAGCAATTCCTTCTTCAGAGACTGTAAGAAAACAGGAGATAGATAAGGGAGACTTGAGGTGGTGGCCACTGGAGAAACTGGGTTCTGGGCTCGAGGGTGTGCTCTGTGGGATGGAGAGGCCTGTCCCCTGGATATGGGTGTGGGGATCTGCCAGCAAATGACAGAGTACTGGGCTGAAGTGTGACCAGCTTGGCCCCACGATGGCAACTCTCCCTGAAGATAAGGACTGGAACCTAGCGCAGTGCGAGGAGAGGGGTACAGGGTGCACTGTGGGGAGACAGCTGGGGGGCACAGTGCGCTGAGGGGGTGGCGCGAGGTGAGGACACACACCCGTGAGGATGATGTCGGGAATCCCGCCGTGGCCCGGGTAGCTGAGCTGCTGTGGGTCCTGCAGGCCTCCATGGCTCCCGCTCAGGCCCATCATGGCGGCCTGGGCGTAGTTGAGTGTGGAGCCTGGGCTATACAGGCTGCTGGGGCTGATGGCGTTCTCCAGCATGTTGAACTGCTCCAGCTACGCAGGGACCAGGAGAGGCCGTGAGGACGATGAACAGGACAGTTCCTCCCACCCACGGCCCTGCTGGCAAGGTGATGGATGGATGATGGATGGGCAAGCGTGACTCGAAGCCACCAAATCCTCCCAGGCTTCCCCTCCGGCAGAGCCCTTCATGCCACTCACTGCCACAGGACAGTCGGAAGGGAGCTCCTGCAGGCCACACCAAGGACATGCTTGCCCTTCCTCCCGTGCCCTCAAACTCTACTCTGCAGGGTTCACAGAGGTCAGGGGAGATGTGGACAAGTCACCCTTGCCAGGGCCTTTGCTTTCATAGCCTGGCAGCAGGACAGTGGGCAGAGCAGTGAAGCCTAGGATGGTACACAGGTCTCTGTGAGGCCTGGTCCTGCTGTGCTATGGCCCACAGGCCTGGGTACCCGCTCACCTGGCGGGACAGAGCATTGGCCTGCCTGGTTGTCATCTGCTGCTCATAGTACGCGTCCCCAAACACGCTGCCCAGGGTGGATGTGTGCTGTGGACAGAAAAGAGCCCTGCTGTGGTTGTAGCCTGAGACCCAGGGGTGGGGGTGGGGGCTCATGAAATCTGTGCTTCCCACAGCCCCTGTGTGGGATGAGACCCCTGGAGCTTCCTAGAGGGTGGGAATAACTGTCATTTATCTTGTGATTCTTAAGGGGTATGCTCTGATGCTGGGGTGCAGGGGCCCTCTGACTGCACTGCCCTATCCCTGGGTATAGGAAACAGCACCTCCTTCTTAGTGGAAGCGGGAACTGTGGGGAAGTGTTGGCTAATCCTGAAGCCGAGGACAGGCAGTGTGTGCATTTGTGTTTGGGATGCAGTATGTTCTTGGGGAGAAATGGAAATGGCATGGGACACAGTCAGGGACAAGCCACTGCCAAGGGCTGCCTCCAAGGGCTGCCTGATTGTGACACCCTGGGCTCTGTGGGGTGCATTCCTATGACACTTGCCTTTCAGCCATGGCTAGCTGGGCTTTCAGGACCAGGCAGAAGGACAGGGGCTCTTTAGGAGTCATGGGATAGTCAGAAGGGAGCTCCTGTAGGCTACACCAAAGACATGCCCTGGAATTGGCTGGGACATGGACAAAAGGGCATGGCCATAAATGTGGCTAAGTCATACCCAAGGCACCTAGAGTTATAGCTATCATGAACCTGACAGGTCACCGAAGACGGGGACCCATTTTCTCCTCTGTGACTGAGTGGCCCAAAGCAGCCACCAGACCCAGGCATTCCTAAATGTGCTGCGCAGCGCAGATGCCCAATGAGATCCTAAGAGACAGTGTCCACGAGCTGCCGGCTCAGTATGAGCTTCATCTAGGCTGAGTTCAGTATCCGGTTCCTGGGAGGAGACAGAGCTCTCGTGACAGGCCCTGCTGCCCAAGTCCCACCTGCTGCTGTGGAGCCCGAGAGCTCAGTGGGAGTGGACTGGTGCTGACACTAGGTGGATGGCCACCACTGGGGACCTCACTGTCTGGTGCTCCTTCTGGTTCTAGCCTGGAAGGAACCTACTGCCCCTGTCCTGGGGCTAAGGAGACTTCAGTGCCTGGGGCACTACAAAGGACAATACAACTCTCCCTGCCTGGTGGCATTTTAGGGTGGGGTGGCCCCCGGATGGTGAGCCCCTGACACAAATTCTGGACAGAATGTGGGCCCAATGAGACTAAGCCACACCTCAGCCTGGAACAGGGAACCAGGCTGTGAGGAGTGGAGGATGCTTTCTTAAGCTGATCTGGGCCTGCAGGGCAAGGGCATCTGGGATGTGCTGCTCACTGGACTTTGGCTGGTGTGCTGACATGCACTGACACGCTGAGGCAGGAAGATTCAGAGTTTGAGGTCACTGGGGCTACACAGTGATTGAGTGGACAGCCTGGGCTACATAAGACCTTGTCTCAAAAGCACAACCCAGGTAAAACAAAGGCCGTATCAGTCAAGTGTGGCTACCTACAGTCTGCTGCAGTGAGAGGCAGAGCAGCTCCCAGACTGGCTGTGCCTGGACAGGCTGCCCCTTGACCTTCACAGGCCTCTGAGTCACACACTGGAGCTGTTCTGGCATCCTGAGGACCTTTGAGCCATGGTTATCAACGGTGTGACAGACTTCTGTGCCCTGTCCTGTGTCTTGCACCCTTGGCGCAGGAGGCCCACCTGGTGGGCGCACAGCCCTGGGCAGATGGCATGAAGTGGGTGACAGCGAAGGAGAACACCTGGCACACAGGAGAAGTGAGGAGGCACAGGGCAGGGGAGGGGGGCCTTACTTGCGGGGAACTTCCAGGGGAGAAGCCTTGATTGGAGACTGGAGAGGTGGGAGACTGGTTGGCGGGTGAGCCTGCACTCGTGCGGTACTGCAGAGCCGGGGCCTGTGATGACAGACAGGCCAGGGTTCGCTGACTCCTGCAAACCAGCAAACCCCCGCCTGATGCCTGGACCCTCAACAATGGATGCCATATGGTTGTCAGTGGTCCTGAGAATCCACCTTGAGCTCTGAGGTGGAGAATCTGACTGACATAGCTTCCCAAGGGTGCACGGAGGCTGCAGGACTCCACCTGGAGCCCACAGTAGGGACTCCTGTCAGATGTAAAACCCTTGCACACCCACATGACACATTTGTACATCCACACGGTATCCACACACTCCTATAAGCACACCACATGAACACCTATACAAACGACATTCAGCTGAATAACCCCACTCATTAATACACACACTCCATTCAAGAACACATATACAACACCCACAAATACACCTAACACCCCCACAAACACTCTTGCACACATCAGAGCATGCACCATTTACATGAACACATACATGTGTGTGCACATCCATGGATACATCTCAGCATCTACAACACTATGCCTGCACACCTAGACATGTGCACAGACACACATTACACACCTGCTGCAAGAACCCCAGTGCGCTGGAATTCACTTGTACACACCCACTCAAACCCCCACCCCATACACTGGATAGGAACAGCAGCTTCACAGGCAGGGGATGGCCTTCTGCCCCTATGCCCCTTTGCAGCCTGTCCTGGCAAGCTCCCCTGTGTCTGCAGCAACACACTGGTTAAACAAAACTGCAGTGAGCGCATGACATGAGATACAATCCCACAGGGACCAGTCTGCCTAGGTCACACCCTCTGACTGACTGCTCAAGGCATTACTAGGCCCCGGCATCCTCAGAGGCAGGTTGTACAGCGGCAGGGCTTGAATTCTGATGACACTCCAGCCCGGAGGCTGCAAGCATTCACACAGCTTTCTGGGTCTATTGGTGAGGCTCAGTCTCCTCAGAGTATTTAGTGGCCCTGTGTAAGTAGGCTGGGGAGGGGTCAAGCCCAGATGGGTATAGAGGAAGGGCACTCAATTAGCAGGATAGTCACGCGATGAGACCAGCTTGGTCTCAGAGCTGGCAAGGAAGGATGATATGGAGAATCCACATGAGCCGCGAGGCCACTTGGGTCCACTGTCCCTTGAGGCCAGAAGTCCCTGGGTTGGGAACTAAGCTCTGCTGATTTTCCTTGTCTGGCTGGAGTATGGTGCCACCCCCAGTCCCAGAATGGATACTTCTATCTGGGCCCCCTCGGCAGGTTTCCTGTGAGGCTCAGAGCCACTTGGTGGCATGGCCTCCTACTTGCTGGGTCACCTGAACACCACATTCAGGTCAGCAGCCAGGACTGAAATGGAAAATGGAAAGGCTCAGTGCTCCCAATGGGTCCTCCCATGTGGCTGAATAGAGGGACCTGCCACCCCCATATTCATCAAGGAACAGAGGTCAGGGGTTAAAGGGGTCCAGCTTAACACCTGTCTCTTCAACCTGAATTTGGAGCCCATGATCTCCCTCCTGCCTGGGCCTCTCAATGCAACTCAGTCCTCTTGACTTGCCACAGCAAGAGGGCAGGTGTGAATGGGGTTATCTTGAGTGGAGTCTGGGATCAGTGACCCTGTTTGTACCTCCATTTTCCAGCTATATGCTGTAAGTGTCTCAGCTTAGACGATGCAAGCAGTGAGTCTCACTGAGTGCCCAGGACCCCTCTCAGGCTCACCACAGAGTGCCCAGGGACCCCTCTCAGGCTCACCACAGAGTGCCCAGGACCCCCTCCTCTCAGGCTCACCCACAGAGTGCCCAGGACCTCCTCCTCTCAGGCTCACCCACAGATGCCCAGGGCCCCCTCCTCTCAGGCTCACCCACAGAGTGCCCAGGACTCCCTCCTCTCAGGCTCACCCACAGAGTGCCCAGGGCCCCCTCCTCTCAGGCTCACCCACAGAGTGCCCAGGACCCCCTCCTCTCAGGCTCACCCACAGAGTGCCCAGGACCTCCTCTCAGGCTCACCCACAGAGTGCCGAGGACCCCCTCCTCTCAGGCTCACCACAGAGTGCCCAGGGACCCCCCCTTTCAGGCTCACCACAGATGCCCAGGGACCCCCCCTCTCAGGCTCACCACAGAGTGCCCAGGGACCCCCTCCTCTCAGGCTTACCGAGGTGGCGTCGATCCCCATAGGTGACTGGCCGGGGTTCTCTGCAGGAGACTGGGGGAGAGTGGACGGGACAGTGACTGACAGCGGTGGCAGCTGGGGCCCTCTTGTCAGGCTGGCACTGGGCAGCAATGGGCCACCCTGGGGGAGGCCCACGGACACCTGTGGGGGTGGTGGCTGCTGTTGCGACACAGGCGGAGGAGGAGGTGGTGGCTGGGGCTGTGGGGGAGGCTGCTGAGAACCAGCCTGGGTGAAGAAGGTATAGGGCAGCTGTTGCTCCAGGGACAGGGTGTCCATGGCCACGGCCTGCAGCAGAAGACAAGGATGAGACGCTGGATCCTCGGTGCCGGCAGCGGCAAGGGAGGAACTCTATGGGTCTTATCCCAACAGTCTGCTCTCCCTAGAGCAAGGAAGTCACACTCAGTGAGTGTGGCATAAAAATAAACAGGCCCTGGGCAGGGGTGCACACTTGCCATCAGCACTCGGGTGCCGAGGCAGGGGGATCACTCTAAGGACGGAGCCAGCTGCTGTTTCTGCCCAGCGACCCAGATGCCAGATGACAGCCCTCACACCACTCCAAGAGGGATGACAGAGGAGATGGGAACAGAGGATGATTAACGCAAGGTCATTCTCAGTCCCTCAGGTTACATGAAACTTGTTTCAAAAACAAAAATACTCCAAAATAAATACTATAAAAACACTGAATTGTGGCTAGCTGTGGTGGTGCACACCTTTAATCCCAGCACTTAGGAGGTAGAGGCAAGTGGATCTCTCTTAAGTTTGAGGCCAGTCTGGTCTACACAGTGAGTTCCAGGACAGCCATGGCAATATATACAGTGAGAGCCTGTATCAAAAAAGCAAAACCAACCAACAAAAAACTCAATGGTTTGGACAGTTTCTGCCTGAAGCTCTGCTGGTGAGCAGCACAGCTGTTGACGTGGGACTTGAGAGTTCTGGCTGCGTTTGCAGAGAACCTGTGTTTGGGTCTCAAACCCACATGCCAGCTCACAGTCACCTCTAATTCTAGTCCAAGGAATCTGATGCCTTCTGGTGTCCACGGGGACCTGCATGCACACGACACACAAACACTCACTCTCTCACACACACATGCATAAATACATAAATAAACAAATAAACTGGTAACAACAGAACCATGATCCAGATCCTACAGACCAGGGGTAAGGGAGGAGCTGGGGATTCCCATCTTCCCCACCCACCTCGCCCTCGCACCTGAGTGATGGGTGACAGCGGGGACAGGGTGGGTGACACCTGCTGGGCCTGCTGCCGCCTGGCCTCTGTGCTCAGGGACAGCGGATTGATGACTGCTGGCCGGTGCTGTGGAGAAGAGCTGGGGGTGCTCACACCTACAAAGGAAGAAGGGTGCTAAGGAGAGGCGGTCACTTGGGCACAGCCCGGCTGTCCGAGAAATGTAAGTGGGCCTGCTTGTGGTGATACCCAGGATGGGCCTCTGAGGAAGGCCATCCCATCAGGGACACCCTGGTCCCCCAGCCCAGCAGCTACTTTCTTCTCGACTTCAGTAGTGAAGAGAGGCATATGCCCCAGCCCCAGCCCCAGCCAATCAGCACTAGAACCATGTAACCAAACAGAACCTGTCTTTGGACCTTGGACATTATCCCTGGGAGTGCTGCCCATCAGAGCCCTGTCAACCTCTGGTGACAAGGACAGTGGTTGTGTCCTGGCTCTAGAAGATAATGTCCTTCCCTACTGGTGCATATCTATATTTATTAAGATTTATTCACTCATTTATTTAATGTGTGAGTGTTTTCCCAAATGTATGTCTGTGTGTGCTCAATGGCAGTGGAGGACAAAAGAGGGCATCAGATTTCCAACAGCTGTGAATGGCTGGGAGCCACCCTGTGGGTGCTGGGAACTAAACCTAGGTCCTCTGCAAGGGCAACAATTTTTGTAACTGCTGAGCCTTCTCTGCAGTCCCTTGCTTGTTTGTTTTGTCTTTCAAGACAGAGTTTCTCTATGGATAGCCCTGGCTGTCCTGGAACTTGCTCTGTAGACCAGCCTGTCCTCAAACTCAGAGATCCACCTGCCTCTGCCTCTCAAGTGCTGGGATTAAAGGCGTGAGCCACCACCGCCGGGCCTCTTTTTACATTTTCATTTTTTTTTCTTTTGAGATAGGGTTTGGTGTAGCTCAGGTCTCAGGCTGGCTGTGCAGATGCTGTTTTTGTTTTAACAGGAACTGGACTTTGCGCACGGTAGGCAGCACTCTGTCAACCGAGCTGCAAGCACTGTACCAAATGAGCTGCAAGCTACTACCACTTAATACAGGGTTACCCTGGAACTCACTAGGTAGTCCAGGCTAGCTCTGGCCTCAGAGCAATCCTCCTGCCCATCTCCCAGTGCTAGGATCTCAGGCCTGTGTCACCACAGCCCATCTACCTTTTTGGCTTTGCTCAAATTTAGCAATTCCATCCTTAGGGTTTCTATAATGCCAGGGCCCTTCCAAGCATGTTCTTTCCTGCTAAGGCACCTCTTAACAACCTAGCAGCCTTCATCCACATCCTCTGACACCTTCAGGATGATGGAGCTCCTCACACCCCCTTACCAAGGCTGCTTGAACTGAAACCAAACTCCTCACTCTGCCCCAGCCCTGCCCTGGAGTGACATGCCCGCACCTGCCAGGGCTTCTGCAGGCCTCTCAGCCCCTTCGTCACCCCCTCCCACCCTGAAGGCTCTGATCCCTGAATTTTGAGGCGATGAGGGACCCGGGTGAGATCAAGGGCACAGGGCAGAGTTGGGAGCCTGCTTCCCATCCTGGGCACCAAGCCAAGCATGCCACAGGGGAACCCTGAGGGTCAGTACTTCACATTCCCAGTAGATGTTAACAGCGCCCTCAGGCGGTCACTGTGAGGTCCCAGTGAGGGTTCGAGCACAGGGATGACTAAGGTACCATTAGAGCAGGTGAGAGTGCCTACCCTGCCACCTGATTCCTTGTTTCTGAAGTTGGGTGGGTGGGAGCACAGCAGCATTCCCAGGAGAGATGAAAGGACAAAGGCCTTTGTGTCCTAGGCAGGTGCTAGTGGGCAGCCTGCACTCTCCCTCAGATCCCAGTGGCCATTGCTTCTACCCAGCACTGGGGTGGGTGGGGGTGGCTCCTCTGCTCCAGTGGCAGAACTGGGTGCTGTCTGGAAGGCCAGGGCTCTAGGCTGCTGCCTTATTCTGAGTGACAGCCCCTCCAGTGTCTGTTGGGCAGAAAGACGCCTGCTACTCAGATCAGAGCACATGCTGGGCTGGAGGCAGGAGCTCTGTGAGAAGAGATGGCTCAGGGCACTGGCTGCTCTTGTAGAGAGCCTCCGTTTAGTTCCCAGCACCCACACAGGCTCACAAACATCTGTCACTCCAGTCCCAGGGGATCCTATGGCCTCTTCTGACCTCCAAGAGCACCAGTCACATGTGGTACAGAGGCATGCAGACAGGCAAAACACTCACATACAAAAATCTAAAAATAATTAAAAAAAAAAAAAGTAAGTAGACGTGGAAGGCCGGGACTTGAGCTAAGAAGTGCTCGTAGCTCAACCGGCAGACTGCTTGCCTAGAACACACAAGGCTCTGCTTTAGTCGCTATTGCCACATACACCAGACAGAGTGGGGAAAGCCCACACCCCACACTTGGGAGCTGGAGGCAGGAGGATTAGGGCTTCGTGGGCATGCCTGAGTATACTGCAAGTTGTAGCCCAATCTGGGCTACAGGAGACCCTATCTCCAAAAAAACACAACAGGTCGGGTGGTGGTGATGCACGCCTTTAATCCCAACACTGTCTCAACTCACCCATCCCATTTTTTAAAATGCTGCTTGTGTGTGGGGCATGTGTATGCACGTGTAAGTGGCTGTGGGGACTGAAAGGGGATTGAACACAGGTATTCAGGCTTGGTTCACCTGCCTTTACCTATCTCGCCATCCCCAATGCTTTATCTTTTTAAAAATTTTTTATTTATTTACTTTGAGACAGGTCCTGCCTGGCCTAGGACTCCCTATGTAGCCCAGTCTGGCCTCGAACTCACAGAGATCCACCTGCCTCTGTCTCCTCCCCAGTACTGGAATTAAAGGCGTATTTTATCATACCTGCCCCCCCGGGCTGGATTTTTTTGTTTAATATTTTTATGGTTTATTTAACTTTATTTTTTTATGTGCATTGGTGTGAAGGTGTCAGATCCCCCGGAACTGGATTTTCAGACAGTTGTGAGCTGCCATGTGGATGCTGGGAATTGAACCCGGGTCTTCTGGAAGAGCAGTCAGTGCTCTTAACCGCTGAGCCATCTTGCCAGCCTCCCCCCCACCGGGCTAGATTTTTAAAAATGAATTCAAAGTAATAAGCATGCGTGCACACACATGTATGCACGTGCACACACACATACACATACACTCACACACAGAGAGACACACATTGTGGGCTACAGAAATCACAGTCAGCTGGTGTGTTTAGCCCTGGCCTTCTGGTCATGAACACAAGGGCATTTTTAATCCTTGCCTAAGCACTACACCCAGAGAGGCCAGATGGGCAGGCAAACCACATGGGGACCCTGCTGGCGAGTTCCTCTTCCCAGCCTGGATCACCTATGGAGTAGAGCCAGCTGGAGGGGAAGTCTGGGCAGGGGAAGGGAGGGCAGGCTGGCCAGGTGGCAGTGGCCTGGCCCTGGCATGCAAGCCGTGCTGGTGGGTCCCTGCAGGCCTCTACAGTATAGTCAGCAGTGGACACTGGGTCAGCTTCCATTGTGTACTGGTCTGCAGACAAGGTGGGGCAGGGACCATGGTCCCCTAGCTCCTCCCCTTACCAGGGTCTGGCTGTGGGGTTGGGAGGTGGAGACTGTCTGTGTACCAGGGTCTGGCTCAATCTAAAAGTGCCCAGAAAATGAAGTCCTTGTGAAGGGGAGAGGCTGGCTAGTAACCACACATGGCACATATTACTGGGGTAGAGTTGGCCAACCCAGTGGGCCAGCAACAATGTCACATAAGCTATTTCCCTGTGCTTGTTTACACTGTAATCGAAGCAGCTGGGGGAGAACCCTGGAGCAGGAGGTGGAGGGAGAAGAGCATGGCGGCCCTCCCTGTGCCATGGGCCTCGCAGCTGACATTGAGGATCCTATTCTAGACCCTGGAAGCCTAGGAAAGGGCCCGGTGGTGGTGTGTGTGGCTCAGTGGTAAAGCGCTGGTTGAGTGTGCGTGGGTGGGCCCAGTTCTGTCATTAGCATCTACAGAGCTGACACAAGGTCCCAGGCTTCAGTCCCAGCATCAAGTATCCACAAGACCCTCACCTTCAATCTCAGGAAATAAACAGGTCCAGGCAACACAATACCGGCAATGCTGCCCTGTGTCCCCTGTGTGCTGACATTAACGATAAGAACGGAGGTCCCTGCTCTCAAATCTCCTAGCAATCCTGCCTCAGCAGCTCCAGAGAGAGGCCACCTGTGTATCCCCACCCTTCATGTGTCCTGCCATTTGTACTAATCCATGTTGCAACTCACAGCCGTCACAGTTTGGGGGGGTGGGGACACAGGCCCACACCAAGGGAGGCTGAAATAGAGTGGAAGGTGCCAGCTGGGGCAGTGTGAGTGACCAGGAGAGCAAGGGGCCACACTCAGGGAGGGCCACACCCAGGCAAAGGACCTGTAGTGAGCAGGTACAACTAGCTGTAAGGTCAGGGCTGGGAGATGGTCAGAAGTAGGGGCATGGGGCTCAGCTTTCATGGGGGTGGGGTAGGGACAAGGTAGCAGGAGGAGTTGAGTAGTGTCAGTCTCATGGTAGGGCTGACCCTTACTGAGTACGTAGTAAAAATAAAGAGGGTGCAGCCATAGTAGTCAGGAGAAGCAGTGGTGGGTCCATCAGGGAGCCAGTGGATGGGCAACGAGGAGCTGGAGCCTGGAACAGGCCAAGGGGAAGAACTCTTTTTTTTTTTATTTATTTACTTACTTATTTATTTATTTATTTAGTATACAATATTCTATCTGTGTGTATGCCTGCAGGCCAGAAGAGGGCACCAGACCTTATTACAGGTGGTTATGAGCAACCATGTGGTTGCCGGGAATTGAACTCAGGACCTTTGGAAGAACAGGCAATGCTCTTAACCGCTGAGCCATCTCTCCAGCCCCCGGGGAAGAACTCTTGAAAGGTGAGGGAGGCTGGAGCAATGCCCAGTGGTCAGAGCACTGGCTATTCCTTTGAAGGATCCAGGGTCAGCTCCCAGGATGCACATAGTGGCGATCCAGCACCCTCTCCTGTCCTCAGAAAGTACTGTGCACACATGGTGCACAGTCATACATGTGGGCAAAACACACATTCACATAAAATATTTTTTTAATTAAAAAAAAAAACAATCAAACGGGTGAGTTTGGAAAGAACAAGTCAAAGTGTCACTAGCAAATGAAGTCAAAGGCTTTAGGGCTCCCTGCTGGCTCCCAGACCGTCCCTGAAGCTGAGCACTGCACAGCACTGCCCTAAAGTCATTGCTTGATTCCTAGAGGCAATGCACCTTCCCACCCCAGGACCTTTGCTGTGCCCTATGGGACTCTGGGTATGGGTGTGTCGCCCCTAGACAGTTCCACGAACTCCTCACTCCAGTGCATGCTACTGCAGGATGCGGACAGCATGGGAGCCTTACCCTGACCAGTGCTGCTGAGGCCCAGATGTGCAAGGCTGCCGGTGCTGCTGGAGCTGGTGAGAGCAGGGAACGGGGGCTCCTCGGGGTCCAGCGGCGTCGGGAGTGGGGAGGGAAAATGGGTGTTGGTGAGGTCAGGGAGGGAGCCCCCTGTGTTGTGGGTGGCGGGGATCAGGGCTGCTGTGCTCTCCTGCTCTGCAGATGGGAAGATGCTGGGGAGGCAGACGGGGACGGGATGTGAGGTCTGGGACCGTGACTAACTGGTCAGCCATGCCACCCCAGGACAACTGCAGTGGGACAGGAGGGGACTTAGGGGATCAGTGGATACAAAAAAAATCACCCCTCAGTGGCAGGACCCCAGGCTGGAAGGAGAGCTGTCCACAGGGATGGGGACATGTTTGCAAGTGACAGCCGGGACTTCCGGGCACCACTCGTGGCATGTTCATTTTCCCCTGCAAGCAGGTACAACCTGGAGATGGAAAAGCCCAGGGAACGGGGGGGTGGGGGTGGGGGACGGACACTTACTTGATCCCAGGAACCTCGCAGGACTTGGGCCTGGAACCCGTCTGAAAGAGAGTAGAGCAGATGGCGCGTGGCAGGCACAGCTGCCTGTGTGCTGAGCCCAGTGCTGTGCCCTTCCCTGCTTCCCCTGCCCAGGACCAGCAACCATGTGATGATGCAGGGGGCCTCTGAGGAGCCCAGGGCAGAGTCAGGAGATGTAAAGACCTTCTCACATCCTCCCCAGATCCTGGAGCTGCTCTTGGGAATGGTCACAGCAGAGTTCTAGGCTGTGGCACTAGGAACTCCTGGCTACCTGTGGACTCTGAGATCCTAGTCCTCTAAGGGCCAGTGCTGCAGGCTGGGTGCAGACCAGAGGGACAAAGGGCAGGCAGGCAGCAGCTGGGGGCTTCCCTGAGGCTGGCATGTGACCAGCAGACTTGCTATATTATGGATCTCCAGCTGAGGAAGTCTTAGAAAAGCTTTCTGGGCCAGTAATATGGTTCAGCCAGTAAAGGAGCTTGTCACACAGGCTGATGGTCTGAGTTCAATTCCCAGGACCCACATGGCAGGAGATACCCAACTCCTAAAGCTGTTCTCTTTCTTCCACACACATGCCAGGGTATACACACACAAGCACATGCTCGTGCATACACACACATACATACTCACATACACAATACAGTTTAAAAAATGTAGTAATAAAAAAAAGACATGTCCCATGGTCTCAAAGACCCTAACAGCTTTCTTAGCTATATGATGATGCCCCCATGTCTCTGAACATATATTCATTCTTCTCTTATATTTTTATTTTGGCACACTGTCATGGAGCGGTCCTGAAACTGTGACCAGGCTGGTCTCAAACTCACAAGATCCACCTGCTTCTGCTTCCCTGTTGGGATTAAAAGTGTGCAATGCCACACCAGTCAGAGTCTTTCTTTCTTCCATGTTGGGAATGGAATCCATATCTTCTAGGCAAGCACGCTACCCCTGAATCACATCCTCAGCTTCCCTTTTATTTTGAAATAAAAAGATTTATTTTTTTAATGTGTATTTTGCCTGCAAGTATGAATGTGTACCAGGTGTGTGCCCAGTACACATGGAGTCAGAAGACGGCAACGGTTCTAAGTCCCCTTCTGGGTGCTGGGAACTAACCCTGGGTCCTCTGTAAGAACTGCTGAGTTGCACCTTTTCCTTTTTAACACTTAGTATTTATTTGTGTGTGCATATGTGTGTGGGGGTGGTCTGGGCATGCTTGTGCCATTATAGGCACGTGGAGGTCAGAAATCAACTTGAGGGAGTTGGTCCTCTCCTTCTACCATATGGATCCTAGGGATAGAACTAGTTCACAGGCTTGGCGGCAAACACCCTGCAGGGCCCTCACCGGTGCTGCTTCTGCTTTGTATTCTGAAGCAAGGCCTTGTCCTATGGCCCCGGTCTGGGCCTGGTCACAGTGTGCTGAGGTCTCAGCTGGGACGAGTGTCTGTCCTCTTCACCACTGTGACTAGTCATGGATGGTAATGTTTGAGCTGTTTCTAGGCAGTCTGACAGGCCTGCTGTTAATATCAATGCCTGGGTGCCAGTCAAGCTGAACAAGGGTCCCACCTTGGGGAAGATGGAGCCACTTCAAGCCGCCCAGTCACTTCTTTCTAGGCTGGGTTGGAGAAAAGGACGGCCTGCCCTGCAGCTCTTACCTTCTTTGAGTCCCATGACTGCTTAGAAAGGGTCTTGTCCGTCTCAGACCGGGTCTCCTCCATGCCCGGGACGGTGAGCAGTAAGACTGGATGTGGGGGAGAGAAGGGAAGGGTCAGGAAGCCATGACTACAGAGCCGAGACCTCAGGGTCATACTGAGTGCACGGCCCTGACAGTAAATTCAGGGGTCTGACTGAAGCTGTGAAAGAGGCGGAATCAACAAGAAAGCCCTGCACACCTTGACTGCAAAGGCCAGCAGACAAGTCGAGGCTCACCCTTGCCCTGCTTCCGCATCAACGCTGCAGTCCCCAGTAGCTAAGCCAGACTTGGGTCCCCCACACTGGTGACAGGTTCTGACCCTGTTGCTGATGCTACCTGGGATTTCACCAATCTGCCCAGAGGGGGCGGCGAGCCTGAGGATGAGCAGAGGTGTCAGAGGGACCTCAGGCTAGCCAGTGGGTGAGACTGGAGAGCTTCGAGGGGGCTGATGGGGGTCTGAGGGTGAGGTGGGTGGACATTGCTTGCTTTCCCTGAAGCCTGCCTTAGTCATGGTGAAGGTGTAATTTTGTTCTGTTCTGCAGTGCTGGGGAGAGACCCAGGGCCCTGCAACACTCAGCAAATGCTCTGTGGCTACACTGTGCTGTTTTCCGCCTCTTGCTGGACTCACGTTTTCCCTTGTGACTTGCAGGACCAGAAGAAGAAATGGCATTTGGGAAAGAACACCATGGAAAGCAGGCATGTGTTGGGGATAGTCAGGGGTAACCTCCAGCCTGTACTGCCTTGGTCCCTCTTGGAGTGCAAGACGTGGATCTTCCCATATCAAGGGAAGTTGGATTCTGTGCATAGAAGCATATCGAGGCTCCACAGGTCTCAGTACAGCCTGGACTGTTCTGCCCAAACCCAGGGCTCCCTGCACTACAGTCTTCAGCTTGTAGCCTTGGGGCGACCTGTCAGTGCGCCCCTCAAGCTGAGTACTTTATCCAACAGAGGCTCCCTGGGAGTCTGGGAGCCGCCACACAGGGCACCTCTGGCACCTGGGCTTCAGTGTCTTAGGTCTGCCATACCTAGCCTCACAGAACCCAAACTCCTGTCTCTTCAAAACAACTGGTCTTCAACACAAGAGTTGTATGGGGGCCTAAGTGCCATGTGGGAGCCCAGGACTTGGGGAACAGCCTACAGAGTTGTGTGTATGGCAGCAGGCAAGGAAGTTCACTTCAACCTGAGGAGTTGATGGTCCTTCTCTCACACAGAGCTACCTAGCTGGCCCCAAGGGAAGGATAAAAGGGCAGCTTTTTTTTTTTTTTTTTTTTGAGACAGGGTTTCTCTGTGTAGTTTTAGAGCCTGTCCTGGAACTGTTTCTGTAGACCAGGTTGACATTGAACTGACAGAGATCCACCTGCCTCTGCCTCCCAGGTATTGGAATTAAAGGCATGCGCCACCACCGCCAGGCTTCTCTGCATGTTCCTGCCAACTTCCTGCAGTTTGGTCAGTCACAGGCCCGTGGCCCAGCCCCAGCCTAGCTCAGAATATAGCCAATGCTCATCACCCAGGCCTGGTTCTACCTATAAAACATCCGTGCATTCTTCAACACCCAACTTCAGTAGCCCTACCTGGGCAAGATTTTCTGAAGACATTCATCCTACTCTGAATCCTTTTCTAAATATTAGTCCACCACAGTCTGGTGACCTCGTGGGATGACATACCTCTTTTCTGCTGTGCGTCCTGGGACCCGCCTGTGAAGGACTCTACCGGGGTGGGCGCCATTGTGCTCTGGTGCAGGGCAGAGTCAGAGTTGGTCCTGGGGACAGAGGGATGGTAACACAGGCTCAGTCTTGATCTATCCATGTTAGATACAGCTTGAGTCCCTACAAGGGTCCAGGACCTGCCCATGGGCAGCCTGTGTGGGTCATCCCACCAGCTATGTGCTCCAGGTCAGGGTTCTGACCTCTTTGTGATCTCTCAATTTTATCATGTAGCCCAGGCTGACCTCTAAGCTCTGATCCTCCAGAATGCTGTGACCATATGCACATGGTGTGACACGCATGTGGAAGCCGCCGTCTGCAAAGGCTCTTCAGCCTGTGTACCCCAGAACACCCACCCTATCTCACTGCAGGGTGCTGGTATCGCAGATGCGCGCTGCTGCGTCTGACTCCATGTGGGTTACAGGACTGAACTCAGGGTCTTGTGTTTTGCCATGATTTTCCAAAGAGGTTGCCACCCAGCTTTCCATGCCCAGAGCTAGGCCTGTGGGCCTAAGATGGATGCCCCAGCACTACAGAGGAACTTTGGGGAACTGTCCAGGCAGCCACCTGGTTCTGTCATTTCTCACATTTTTTGGCAGTCACTTGCTCACACTTCCTGCTTACTCAGTTAATATTATTTCCTTCTTGGGTCTCTGAGAGGTTGAAAATTAGTTATAGTTTACCAGATGCAGAAACCAAGTTATGATAGAAAGTAAATTAGGTACAAGACTTTGGACTCATCAAGTTAGGACAGACATGGATTATTTTTTCTGAATTTGTCAAATGCAAATGGACTAGACATTATTGATGCATTTATCACCTGTATATAGTGTATATTGTTATTGTACTTACCATATATAGTTTTTTTTAAAAAAATATTTATTTATTTATTATGTATACAATATTCTGTCTGTGTGTATGTCTGTAGGCCAGAAGAGAGCACCAGACCTCATTACAGATGGTTGTGAGCCACCATGTGGTTGCTGGGAATTGAACTCAGGACCTTTGGAAGAGCAGGCAATGCTCTTAACCACTGAGCCGTCTCTCCAGCTCCCCATATATAGTTTTTTTGTATAATAGTTATAGCCTTTTCTTTTTAAAATATTAGACAAAAAGGGGAGATGTAGTGATATTTCATTTGTATTTGAATAAATAAAGTTTGCCTTAAGTTCAGAGAGTAAAACAGTCATAGGGATCAGCCTTACACACCAGGCAGTGGTGACACACACTTTTAATCCCAGTAGCTAAACTAGTTTGCCATAGAAACCAGGTGGTACTGGTGAATGCCTTTAATCCCAGCCTTTGAAGGGGATATAAAACAGGAGGAGACAGCTCTCAGTGTCATTCTGAGATTCCTGGAGGCAAGAATCCATTTCGGACTGAGGTAGAGGTAAGAGCCAGTGGCTGGCTGTTTTGCTTTTCTGACCTTCAGGTGAACCCCAATATCTTTCTCCAGATTTTCATTAATTGTTCTGTAGCCCAGCTTTTCTCTGTTTAAAGAATTGTGATTTTTTAAAGATTTATTTACTTTTTATGTGTATGGGTAGTCTGCCTGCACATATCCCTGTGTACCACATGAATGTCAGTGTCCATGGAGGACAGAAGAGGGCATCAGAGCCCCAGCAGTTGGAGTTACAGATGGCTGTGAACTACCATTCAGGATCTGGGAGTCCTGGGTCCTCGGGAAGACAGTCCGTGCTCAATTACAGAGCCGTTTCTCCAGCGCAGTTTTACACGGAGCTGAGAATGGGATCCAGATTATGTACACGCTAAGTGAGCGTTCCACCAACCAAACACCAAGCACTCAACAGCCCCATCCCAGCTTGGTTTGCTTTAACTGAAAGTGTTATCAGGGATGGTAAGTTTGGTCCCAGCCACAGCGAAGACAGAAGGATTGCTTGAGCCCAGGAATGTGAGTTGTGCCCGAGGAGCACAGTGAGAAACCACATTTGAAAAAATGGGGCCAGCAAGAGAGAGCAGAAAGTCAGAGTGCTGGTCATCAAGTCTGACGACCTAGGTGCTAGCCCTGGCTCCATGTGCTAGACCTCCATCTGGACCACACTTGCTCTTCCCATCAAAGCCAGGCATGGTGGCGCACACCTTTGATCCCAGCACTTGGGAGGCAGAGGCAGGCAGATCTCTGAGTTCGAGGCCAGCCTGGTCTACAGAGTGAGTTCCAGGAAGCCAGCACTACAGAGTGAGACCCTCACTCAGAAACACTCACGCTCAAAACAAAACAGAAGTCGACCTGAGCCATAACTGAGTGGCTGAGCTCCCTGGCACCCATGAGGCCCCGGCTTTACCCCCTATACCACATAAACTGGTGTGGTGACACAGGCCTGTCACCTCTGTGGCCAGGGCTGGACGACAGGTGTTAAAGGTCAGTCTGAGTCCATGAAACCCTGCCTCAGAGAGAACAGAGTAGCAGCAGAATATGGTAACAAGTATCGCCATCCTTTGTGGTCCCTGGGAACCCGCAGAGCCTGTGTAGTGCAGCCCTGACCAGCACCCGATACAACAGTGCAGCGCTGTACAGAACCCTCACACCTCCAGCTGACAGGACACTTGATATGATGCTGCACTTTGTGCAGGTACTACATTGCTCTTTTTCTCCAAGATTTATTTTATTTATATAAATGTGTTTGTGCATGCAGTGCCTCTGCAGGCCAGCAGAGGGTGTAAGAGCCTCTGGAGCTGGAGTTCTAGGTGCTAGTCAGCATGTGGTTCTGGGATTCAAACCTGAGTCCTTCAGAAGAAGAGCCAGTATGCTTAGCTGCTGAGTTGTCTCTGCAGGCCCTTGTTTTGAGACAGGGTCTCTGCAGCCCTGAATGGCCTGGAGTTCACAGAGATCTGCCTGCCTCTGTCTCCTACATGCTGTGACGGCAGGCGGGGACCGCCACATCCAGTAAACACCGACAAGCAGCATCCCCTACAGTTTCCTCTTCGTGGTGCTCGGATAGAAGCAGGGGCCTCAGGTGTGGCAGGTGGTGCTTGCTACAGCCCACATCTCAGTTGCCAAAGACCATTTAGAAATGTGTCTGAAAGGCAGCTTCCATGCAGCAAACGCCAGGCTTGTGTGCACACCTCTACTTCCGCCATTCAGGAGGCTGAGGGCCACTGGAGCCTGGTAATTTGCAGCCAGTCTGGGTACAGAGTGAGAGGCTGTCTCATTAAGAGAACAAAATAAAAATGAAACAGGCAAGGTACACCACTGACTATTCAATTCTAAAAAGAAGAAATAAAAACCAGGTGGTGGCTGCACATACCTTTAACCCCTGAACTTGGGGAGGCAGAGGGAGGCAGGTCTCTGTGAGTTCGAGGCCAGCCTGGTCTACAGAGTGAGTTCCAGGACAGGCAGGGTTACATGGGGAGATACTGTCTCAAAAACCAAACAAACAAAAAGAAATACGGAAAAAGAGAAAGAGAGGGAAGAAGAGGAGGAGGAGGGAGGAAGGGCAGGGGGAAGAAGAGGAGCGAGAGAAGCAGGAGGAAGAGCGGGAGAAGCAGGAAAAGAATGAAGAGCAGGGGAAGAGGGAGGAGGAGCAGGAGAGAAATGAGGCTTTGAAGGCTCCTGAAGTCACGTTCTCTGTATTTTGAAGTTGACTTCTGGAATTCTTTGGGAGCATCTGGCTCACTTGGTCACTTTCCAGTGACCATGCCCCACATTTCTATACACAACTGTAACAATCATCTACACTGTCTTCTCCCAGAGGCAGGTGGCTCTGGCACTGACCTCCTCCAGCTGGTGTCTGCAGGAGGCGAGAGGTACACGGTGCCATAGGGGCAGCTGTCAGCGTGTATGAGTTAAGGGAATCTCGCAGTGGACTCTGACCCTCCCTTGGTCACAAGTTGGTCGTGGCCACAGCATAGGAAACCTGATACACCGGCTGTGAGGCCAGGCTGCTGGAGTTGAGGGGCGTAGCTTGGGCTCCCAGCTTGTGGCTGGGTCTGCAGATAGCTGGCCTGGAGGGCAAGGGGTGTTTCCTGCCTGGTTGGAAGCTGCTGCTGGTGCAGAGGCTCCCTGGGGGGCCTGGCCCACTCACCTACAAGTCTGCACCACCCTCCAAACCATTCCAAGAGGAAGCTCAGGCCTCACACTGGGACCCAGATGCTTCATGGAGGCCAAACTCAACTGACCTCTTCAATTGAGGCAGTTCCTAGGACCAAAGGCTCAGAAGCAAAAAGCAGAAAGCAAGCAAACAGCTCCATCTTGCAGAGTTGGGGGCGGGGACAGGAGAAACCTAAAGCCACTCTGTGACAGAGGATCTCGCAGTGGCAGCCAAGTGAGGAGGAGGGCCCTGGCAGGTGTCCACCCTCCAAATAACAGAGGCAGGACTGTGTGTGGAGTCACTGCTGTGTCCATCTGGGCCTGGCTCTGTCTACAGCCTCAACTAGGACTCTCCACTTCCTGCAGCCCTTGAAGGCTGCGTCCTGATCACTCCTCGTGGCCCAGTCCTCTGTGGTTTGGAGTCATCTCCTTAACTCTGTTCTTTGTCCCACTGACCCCACCTCTGACTCCAGTACACTGGCTATCTGCAGGCTGACCCCACCTCTGACTCCAGTACATTGGCTATCTGCAGGCTGACCCCAGATTCCCTGATTTGGTGTGCACAGGCAACAGCATGTGCCTGTTCTGGCGCCCTCCCAATCCCACACATCCTCTGCAAAAGGATATCTGTCGCCCATGCTTGTCAACTGAGAGGGGCCGGCGGTGCGGGGAGCCAAGTCTGCCGCGCTCACGATACACTCTGTCTACAAGCCCATGGTGCCGTGTGGTCCGACTCGTGTCCAGGCCTGAGGGCTGAAAAGGTGTCTGGAGAGAAGGATGGGTCAGGAATGGGGTCAGAAAGGAGAGAGGAGACCCAAACCCAGATTACTGGTTGAGGCCTGAGGTTCCCCCAGCTTTACCCTCAGGGACCCCTGATCTGGGGACACATTCAAATCCACTCCATAGGCTTCTCTGGCAGCCCAAGTTCCAGCTGAACCATGGGGCTAGGGTGCAAAAGCTAGCAGGGGTGTCCCAGGAAGGTCAGGAGGCATGGAGTGCAGCCTGCATGTTCAGGCCAGACAGGGCACTCCAAGCTTTGCCTGGTTGCCAAGGGTAGCTCTCCTCTCCCCAGCTGGCCAGGTGCAGACAGGCCTCCACCCTCTCTTCCAGGCCTGGCCGGCCTCCTGTCCCCACCTACGTCATCTCTGGAGGGGCCAGCCAAGAGAGGCCCCCAGGGCTTCAAGCCCAGAGCTGCTGTGGGGCCCACCTGGCCCGGCACTTGCTCCCGAGAGGATCAAGACAGAGCCCAGAACAGCTCTGGGTTGAGCGGGGGCCCTCTCTCCTAGCCCCTCTCCCACTCCCACCCCAGCATCTCAGCCAGGCGCCACTGAGAGCCAAGTAGAGGCGCCTTCCGGAGCCGTGGCCTGGCTGGCTGGCTGGGGCTGCTTACCCACACCTGGGCTGGCACAAGGCTCCAGGCAAGTCTTGGTGTCCCCAAGGCTGCCAGAGCCTGTCACCATGTTAGGGTGAACTCAGCTGCCTGTGCCAGCCCAGGACATGTCTTGTCCCATGACTGCCTGGCTACCTGGGCCCTTCTGTCCCCAGGCATAAAGCAAAAGCCATTCTGATCTTCAAATGGGCTTCCTGCTGGCAGTGGTTGCAATAGACTGGCCACTTCTTTCTGTGTGTGTGTCTTCAGGGCTGGCTGAGTAGCCACTGCCAAATCTTTGTGACCCAGAGAGACCTTGCTGGTTTGGGATTTTCTATAGCTTTCCCCAAGGAGGGACAGTGAGGCTCTAAGACAGCCATGAACCTCACCACCAGTCCTGGAAAGGAAGGGGTCAGTCATGTTTCTGAGACATCTGTAAGCCTCAAGAGAAAACCGAGGCAGCTGCTGCCCATCTCTCTAGGCCAGGAATGCCTCCATGTAGCAGACCCCTCTCAGCTCTTTGCCCCCATTAGCAACCAAAACCCATCCTGCACAGAGGCCACTAGCCCTCTAGACCCCGCCCAGCCTTCCAATCCCCGCCCACTTCTCCAGGCCCCTCCTAGCCTTTCAGTTCTATCTGGGATCCAGTACTTGGGCATGTGCACGCTTCCAGGCTTAGACCATGAATCTTGGGACATGTTTGGACTCTGCTGCAACAGATCCCAGGTCAGGATATGTGCACAAGGCATCTGCCCAAGGAAGACCCCAAGAGTCCTGGGGGACTTTGAGCAGTACCCCATACACAGCCCCAAGATAGGGGTACTGAGCATATTCACCCTGGTAGGTGGGTGGAGGGGTACCTCTCCAGGAGTCACAGGGGTGGCTGTGGGTGTGCACATATGGGTGAAGGTCTCACAGGTCGGGGCTGGGCAAGAACAGCCTTAGTCTGGGGTTCAGTTAACACAGACATTGAGCTGTGGTCAGGGTTACCCCTAAAACCCACTGCACTAAAAATGCGAAGAATCAACACCCTGAACTGCCAGTGGGCATGTGTGCCTCGAGCAAGTGTGGGCCCAGTAAGGTTCCTTGTGCCCTCAGACTGAGAAGTGCACTGTGGTGACCATGCAGGGTTCAGTGAAGGTGCTGGGGAGGAGGTGCTGAAGATAAAATGGAGGTTACCCATCCCAGAAAGCTAGTGACTTCAGTATGCCAAGCCCTGGAACTCCACAGAGTGAGGTTCCCCAGGACCAAACTAGCAGTCTTAAGCACACCCAGGCACAGACTGACTACCCCAGCAGCCACATGGTAGGGGAGGAGTCATGATTCTGGAGCCTGCCAGCTCTTGGGGACATGGTTGTTCCCAGACCCTTGGTAGCACTGTGTTTGATGGCTGGAGGGCCCTGTCTGAAGACTGGGGTCTGGGGAGAAGACACTGGCCCTTATCTACATTATCCTGACAGCAGCTTGCGGCCTGAGGGAGCCATGCAGGGTGTGCAGCACTGCCAAGAACTGTCTGCAGACAAGTGGGGTCAGGCGGCAGGGGCTTCCTTCTGAGAACTGCAGATCAGTGAGGCAGCTGGAGCCAAGCCTCCAAGGCCCTGAGCTCTTCCAAGGCCTCAAAGCCCGCTGGCAGGTGCAGCAGCTGCTGAGTGCTATGACTAGCCGGGGGAGGGGGTAGGCTGACTCCAGAAGTCTGTGGAGCTCAGGGAACCTGGAGCAGCCGCCCCGCCTCCTAAAGACCTGGGATGTAAGAGAATGGGTGGAAACAGCTCAGCCTGGGACCACCCTGCTGTCTCTGCAGGCTGTGGCTCAAGTGGAGCCCAGAATGCGACAAAGTTGAGACAAGAAGACTTGGAATATTACCAAGGAGAGGGGAAATACTAGGAGGAAAGGGAGCTCACCTGGAAGGAGAAATCCATGCTGCCACTTCCAATCTGGTTCACGTTGGGCAGAGACCCGCCATAGTACTGGCCGCGGCTGGGGCCCAGCTGCAGGTACTGGGACTTCTGCAGTTGAAGCTGGAGAAGCAAAGCCATCAGCTGTCACCATGCAGGAGGGAACATGTTCTAAGAAAGCCCACAGAATACCCAGACACCCAGAGGGTTCAGGTGGAGGAGTTAAGGGACTATGTGTTGAGGGACCCTGTGACAGAGACTCTGAAAGAGACAGAACCTATTCTAGACGGTGCTCTCCGAATGGGATAATGCACTCCAAAGAAGCTTCTGACCATGAACTTGTGGAGCTAGCTGCCTGGCTCACTCTACTGAGAGACCTGGGGAAGCCTGGCCAGAAACCACAGACATGCTGGCCATTGGGAAGCCTGTTTCAACAGTGGAAAACTGTTTACCAATATAACACGTGTTCCAGCTCCCACAGGGCCGTGGGGCTGTCTGTCTGACCCTCTAGCCCTAGTCTGAGCACTGGGGATCCTGCCTAAGCCCCTCAGCTCCTTGGTACCCTGAGGAAGCAGGTACAGTCACATATCTGAGTAGCATGCCACATGCTAGTCTCTGGCCCTGCTTAGGAGTGGGGGCTGTAGGGATGGGGCATGGCCCATTTCCGGTGTCTGGACGTAGTGACCAGGGAAAGTGCTGTCTGTTCTTGCTGTGCTGTGGTTGCTAGGGTCCTGCACTGTGTACACAACAGGGCTGCCTCTCAGTTTCTCTCACAAACAACTGGCGGCCCAACTTCCCGCCCCTCTCCCACACCAGCCCTTGCTTCCTGGGGAGGCCTTGGACACTGGAGGAGGGAGCAGGACTCCAGCTGGCTGCATGCCAGGCCAAGCACCTCGCCCAGGTAAACAGCTGTTTCCTGTGTGCCTCAGTGGAGGACAGAGAAAGACGAATGGGCCTGGTTCTTGGGTGCCTCTGCTGGGTCTGTATTGGGAGGTTCCTGTGTTCTCAGTGGATGCCAGCTGGTCCCACCCACAGCTCCCCACTGAGTTGCTCCCTGCAGCTATGAAATACGGAAAGGGGCAGGCAAGATGGCTCAACAAGAAAAAGTGTTTGCTGCTAAACCTAAGGACCTGAGCTCAACCCTTGAACCCCAGGGAGACCTGACTCCTACAGGCTGTCAGTTTATCCTCTGATCTCCACCCACACAAGTGAGTGTAATTAAAAATATGAAACAAAGCTGAGCAGTGGTGGCGCACATCTTTAATCCCAGCACTCAGGAGGCAGAGGGGGGTGGATCTCTGTGAGTTCTAGGTCAGCCTGGTCTACAGAGCAGGCTCCAGGACAGGCTCCAAAGCTACGGAGAAACCCTATCTCAAAAAAACCAAAACCAACCAAACAAACAAAAAAAACCAAAAACCAAAAAAAAAAAAAAAAAAAAAGAAAGAAACAAGCGAGAATAGGAGTGCTTCTCGGGACGAAGCCAGCGTAGCTCCTAGCACCCATCTTGTCCAGGGCTGGGTCACATTCCTTAGGACCCCATCAGTCTAAGCCTCAGTTTCCCACCTCCTAATGTGAGTGCCACAGATGGGTCTGTGCTCTACCAGTCCCGTGGTGACAGAAATGGCATGGAACAGTACACGTGTCCACATATGGTTCTCCATGGATGGACAGAGCCATAGGGTTTTGGAGACCGGGCACCAGAGCAGTGCACATCAGGCCACTGTATTTACAGCTATGTCTGGTATTTGGGGACGAACCTCAGAACTGGGTCTGACCAGAACGATCCTCGGGGGTTCCAGTCCACTCTGCACAAGCTTTACCCTCCTGCAAGATGTCCAAGCCTACCCACCTAGCTCACACCTAGCTCAGCAACTCAAGCCTTGTTGCAGCAGCTGCTCTATCTTGGCCGTCAGGCCCATCTTTGGTGACACACAGAATTTGCACAAGACACCTGGAGGCCATCAGCACATCCTCCCTGACAGGGTACCATTGTGGTAGGGTATGGGGCAACATTTGTCATTCCAGCACTTAAGAGGCTGAGGCAGGAAGGGCAGGAGGGCAAGACCAGTATCTTAAGTGTTTCTATTGCTGCAAGGAAAAAGCATAACCAAAAGCAAGTTGGGGAAGAACAGGTTTATTTGGCTTATGATTCATCATCAGAAGAATTTAGGGTAGGAGCTCACACAGGGCAGCACCTCCACGCAGGAGCTGATGCAGAGGCCATAGAGGGCGCTGCTCACTGGTTTGTTCCCCAAGTCTTGCTCAGCCTGCTTTCTTATAGAACCCAGGGATGGTCCCACCCACAATGGACTGGGCTCTCCCCATGAACCCATGAATTACTAATTAAGAA